AAGACGTTTGTTTTGAATTTTCCTGATCGTGCTACGTTACACTAAATCAGGATCATTAATTGGTCAATGATCACGTGTGGGTGAAATTTGATGGCGATACTGGGGTAGTCCCGCTTTAGACGTCCCCCTAATTTGGGACGGTCTCCCCTGGAGATTCCGGTATATAAATTCCGATTATGAAAATTAAAACATTTTGTTTGGCTCGTTATTAATATTTTAATATCAATATACACGTGAGTGTTGCGCCCTACATTATTTATTTACGTATCAGCCCTGACAACTCATACGTATCAAAAGTTTAATCGCCAAATAGTTAAATATCAATATATGCGAAATGATGCATTATATCCCCATTTCTTGTTATTTTTTCGAAATACTTCTATATGCCAGACACTTCTAAATCGCATGATGTTCTTAGAACTCTTCTAATTTTCCCAAGTTATTAATTCACATGAATCCAGGGATTAGGATATATTGTTATAGAACAATATTGAATAATAATGAGGTAATTGGTGCATTTGTTTTGTTCCTGTACCCTTATTGCGCACTAAGTCACAAGGTTTTCTTTTTTAGTTAAAAAAAAAAAAAAAAACAATAGTTACACAATGATGAAAGATTACATTACTGCGTTAATTTGTACTTTGTTTCGGTAACGAAAAAAGAAATGGTAAATAGCTGTCTACCTATGATTTACATGCGATGATTTTCTTAGATTGTTATAAATGCAAACAAACTACTGTCGTACGTACGATGATCAAACTCCGGTTTTGTCATATTGTGAAGCATCACATGTCCTCACGGACATAAAAATTACAATAAAAAAAAAAAAAAAAAAAACTTAAAAACGCGGACTCTTCTTTACGTTTATCATTAAAAAAAAAGCTGTAATTATAATGAGTTCTGGCACTGAGCTTCGACAAAGAACAGTTGATAATTTAGCAATAAATGCAAAAGATAATCGACACGTTTTAAAAAATGACGATATAAAAAAAACAAATAATGTTGTCATTGGAAAGACGCCAAGTGGAGAAGGTATTATAAAATTTAATAAAACTAAGATTAATATCGAATCATATGCGTATGATTTTTTGATACGCATTGTATCATTTTATATTCTTCGCAAATTTTTATTAATAATGTTCAGATTATAGATTAGATGCTTTAACTTAAAAATTACCCCTTTCGCATGTGTTCATTAATTCATTATTATTTCTAAATATATTACTATTTGCAGTTTTCAAAGTTCCACAAACTGCCGACATGCTAACCTCTGTTTTCGATCCTAATTCTAAAAAATCCGCGTTCGATGTAATGATCTTGGCAATCATGGGTTTTCAGATCGTGTTATTTTTTGTTCTTCCATCACATATCAAACAAGGGTTTTTCTTATTCCTTTTCATTTGTTGGAGAATTGCATACAACGTTGGACTGGGCACGTTATTGAAATACCAAAGTGATAAACATGGATTAGTATCGTGGATCAAACGCCTAAAGATTTTTGATAAAAAAGAAGGTGGCAAGTGGTATAGTTTCTTTAAAGAGGAATTGAGTGTTAAAATGGGTGATGATTATAAATTCGATGTAAATTTTTTTTAGACTGTAATATATATTTTTTCTTTATATTAACTTCATTTTACTAATGGTATTTGATTTCATTGTTTACAGGATGTTCCTTTAGAGTTTAACACGTGGCTACTCTTCCGTCAATTAGTTGATCTTATTCTTTTGAATGATTTCACCACGTACATCTGCTTTGCGCTTGCTAATTTTAATATTCCTGAAAATTCTGGCATAATTATTAATATCCTGCGTTGGGTTGGTGGTTTATCCTTGTTATGGTTCAACATTTGGGTAAAAAGAGATGCTCATCGCATCGTCAAAGATTACGCTTGGTGTAATTGTTTTTAGGTTTTCTTTTCTTTCTAATTGTTTTTTTTGAATGCCATTTTTTATTTTTTTTTTAATTAATCACTGATTGTATACATTGCAGATTGGGGTGACTTCTTTTTCCTTGTTGACCAATCATTAACATTTGAGGGTGTATTTGAATTGGCACCACATCCAATGTATTCGGTCGGATATATAGGTTATTATGGCATATCTTTGATGATGGCTAGCTACACTGTATTGTTTGTAAGCTTGGCAGCTCATGCTTTACAATTTGCCTTTTTATCGTTTGTCGAAAATCCTCGTAAGTTAAATTCAACAAATATATCTAATTTATTCCAATTTAATTCACACGGCTTCCTTCGTACGTAGATATTGACAAAACATATAATCCACCAACGCCTCTCAATGCTAAACTAACAAAATTGACCGTACCAAATACTCATGCATCAAATGAATCCATCCAGTCTTCTATCCCTGATTTGTCTCTTACATTAAGCCATCGCTTTCGACGTGATCTTATAGTTTTTAAGAATTTTGATCCTTTACGTTCGAGTGACCTTTTCGTCGTCATCATTATATTTTATGCCATTATCATCCCGTTATTAATTGCCGGTGCTTCCGATAACTTTGTCAAAATTTTCTTCTTTATACAATGCGTAATATGGAGGATATTTCATTCGTATATATTAGGAGCTGTTTTATATTATCAAAGCAAGGAAAAGTTTTTAACAAAACATTATATTAAATTTGGTGGTACTGTTGGTGATGCATACTCTAACTGGAAGAGGTGTGTCTTTATATACATTGCTAATTTGTAATGTCTGCTATTTGAAATACTTGTCTTTTAATGTTCTTTTTGAATTCTCAGCATATATAATCTCTCTTTATGCATGACATATGCAACGTTTATCTCTGCTGCTTGGAAGATGTACTATTTCCCTGAAGATTGGACTTATGGTATGGTATTGTTACGCCATACTTTTGGTGCTTTGTTAATAGCTTTACATATATGGGCATCGGTATCCGAGTTTGAAGTTCTTGGTGATTTTGGCTGGTTCTATGGAGATTTTTTCTTCGATCATCCCACAACATTATATTATAATGGTATTTATCGATTCTTTAACAACCCTGAGAAACTAATGGGTCAAGCTGCATTTTGGGGTATCACCCTTATGGCGAATAGTTGGCTTATTTTTGGCCTGGCATTATTTGCTCAAATCTCAAAACTTTTGTTCTTGCGATATGTTGAGAGTCCTCATATGAAAAAATTATATGGCAACAAAATCCGGAAAGAAGCTGGTGTCATTAAGACGATAAAGCGTGCCAAATTCCTTCGAGGAAAATTTAGCGAGGAAATTGTTCATGAGATTCAAGCAGTTGAACGAATCGTTAAAGAAGTGGCTGAAAAAATTATGGAAGAAACAGCTGAAGTTGTTGGCGTATTTGTTGAAGCTGCTAAACCGAAATTAAATGAAGTTGTATCTGAAACTCAATCTTTGCTTAAAATATTTAGGCTTTCAGGGAATAGATATATGATTCGGTAAAGGACTTTTTTTTTTATCTGTAAATCAAGAAATTTTTTTTTTACAAACTTGATTTATTTATTTATTTATAATTTATTTAGCCAAGTTAACGACCTTAAACATTATTCGATTACGCTCTCACTACCGGAAGGTATGGCTAATTTATCTTCACAGCAAAACTCAGATGACAATCGAAAAGCGAAACCAATAACATTTGAGCTTGGAGCACCAATACATATATCATGGACTGCACCCCAAAATCACACACGTAGAGATTGGATTGGAATATATAAGGTCACTTCCAATTTATCTAAAGAAGTCACAAATGTTTCAAGTAGAGGACGATTTGTTTACGTATCACCTGAGGAAGGGGAAGAATCAAACCCCCATTCAGAAAATGATAATGATAATAAACTTGTTGATAGTGGCGAAGCGTGGTTTAAAGGTGACCTTTTACCATGGGAAGTAGGTACCTATGAATTTAGGTATCATCATGATGACAGATACGATGTTATGACTATTTCTCAACCGTTTGAAATTGCAGGTAAGTTTGAAATTAGTAATATTAATAACGTCCGAATTTTTATAGCATTTAAATCTTAATTCTTTATATGCAATTATTATTAGCAATTGCACAAAAATCAGATGATCTTCATGTCATTGAACAATCGGTTCTCACATTAGTACAAAGAGTCCTTGAGTCTGATAGTACACATACTACAAACAATGATTATTCTGATAGTAAAATTCCAAATACTACAAGTGATGACTACATACTCATGAAAGAAGTCCATGCTAAACACATTGTATATGGAATTAAGATGATGTTTGGTGTAGATTTTGCATGGGAAGTTGTTAGTGTTGATGGAAATGTTGGAAGATTGGCACAACGGGTTTGTATTTTATTTATATATTTTTATCGTTAATTTATTACAACTAATATACTTGTATATTTGTTTTATTTTAATATAACAATATAGATATATAAAGCAAGACTTGCACTTAAACCATTCCAAATAACGAGCCAAACATGAATAAAAATATAATAACGTTAAATCATGAATAGGCATACGTCATGTTCGGAGTTTTCAGCTTTAAATAGTCGATTTGATAATTTGCATCCGTATAATTGACGTCGCATTTAATCAGATTGAACATTGAGTTTATTGCCATAATATTACAAATGTTTTTTAATGCACTTTTAGTTTACAGAATTTTGGAATCGTCTTGCGAACGTAGAGTATCTGTCTTATTTAAAAATGTGATTTTGTGGCATCAAATATAGAGTTATGAATTTATAACACGATAGTAACACGTGATTAAAGAAATGCTCTTGTTATATAACGATAATGTTTCATGTTTCATTATCGGTATACGTTAAAGGTTTAAATAAATATGTGTAGTACAGCATTGATCAAAAAGTTTAAATAAAAACTAATTTGACGAAGCCTAGTCTTTAAATGGATAATTGAAGTTATGTAGTTAATTTATAAGAATCAAATATTTTAAACATTGCTTGTACGTAAATATCTTTGTAAATATCTTTATATAAGAAAATTGGGTTATAGTTATTTTTATACGTATCTATTTTTTAATTATTATATAAATTATTTTTATATATAATATATATTATATATTAAAATGATGATGTTTTAGTATTTACGATCAGGAAAATTCAAAACAAATGTATATTAAACAGTTTTTCTTGTGCAATTTTGCTACGTAAGGTCACTAATACCTAGCCCCAATATGGACGCTAACCATAACATAAATGAATTTTTCCATTACGTGACAATAGAATTCTGGCGGCGATACTTCTGGGTAGATGTTTGATGAGGTTGAAACATTAGCCAAGTATCATTAGTCACGTGGGTACATGACTTAGAATTATGAGGTTGAGATTAGATTCCAGGTGCAGGAAAATCTAAAATGCCTTTTTTATTAAGTCAAAAAGCTTATTCGATGAGATGCAGTTCTTGATATACTTATTTTGTACAATAGCAGCAGACGCACGATTTGTCACGCAGATCATTTTATAATAGTAGGTCAAATGATTGACGCACCCAAATTTTATAAGTAAA